CCTCTGAATTTTCATTCAATGGATCCACATGAACCCACATACCCATGCTGTGACAATTGGGGCCCAATGTGACACTCTCCATCTTTGTTCTCTGAGACAGTCTCTCACTGACCTGGAACTTGCTGAGAATGCTAAACTGGCTGGCCAGCAAGCCCCAGGGTCATATTCCTGCATGGGTGAGGAACTTGAGTCTCTACTTTTCTTACAAGATTGGAGACGTAGCATCTTTATTATGTGGTGTATGCAATCACAGTCAGGGGACTGGGGAGTTGCTTAGTTGGTGAAGTGCTTGCTTTGCATACACAAGGATTGTTTGAGTTTCATTCCTAGAACCACATAGAACAGGCTGATCCCGGTGTTACACACTTGTAATATCAATGCTAGGACAATGGAGACAGGTGGATCCTTAGGAGTTTTTGCTAGGCAGCCTAGACTAATTGGTTCTAAGCAAAAGTGAGAGACTACCTTGAAAACATGGTAGATGACATATGAGGAATGACACCTAAGGCTGTCCTCTGACTTCCATATAAATGATACATACATATACTCACCCCCCCACACACACATGAATCTTCACATATTTCCATGCATGAGTGAGTACACACACCCACAGTCACGGATAAGAAATTAAATTGCACATAGGAAAGAGAGATGATGAAGTCACTTTGACCACATGGAAATGCAACAGAAGTGTGGCATGAGATGATCTACCAGAGGCTAGTCTGGCACCTGGTTTAGCACAGGTCTTCTGCTTCATCCCTGGCTGAACTGATGGTGGTGAGTAGGAGGAGAGTGTGGACGTCCAGATCTTGTGAATTGGGATGAAACTTGTGTTGGCGTTGTCGCTATAGTTGTTTCCAATTTGCCCCAAAGTTGTTTATCTTGAACGACTAAACTGTAGTCTAACTTGGTGTGTATATAGACTGAAAGTTATCCTTGCAACAAGTCTCAGCTGCCATGCCTTGGTCCACAGGCAGTCACCTATTTCAGTGACCGTCAAGTACTGCTATGCCACATGTTGGCAAGTCAGTCACTGTGCTCACTTGAGCTCTTCATGCCCTGTTTTCTCCTCCCTGGCTCTAAACAGTGTACAGCTGTATGGAAGCCTTAGGGCTGCTCTCAACTCAACCTGATTCTGAGCGATTCACAACTTGTAAGTTGTTCCTTGCTCAGGTAAACCGTTTAATTTTTTTACATCTACAGTGTTTCATTAACACTCCACATAGAACCAAAGGCCTGCCTATGGAGAGGAAAAAGAGTGAACAGGGTTCTCTCTCTTTATGTGGTGCCGAGATCAAACCCACAGGATAAGATGCTTCAGAAGGTCCAAAGGTAGAATATAGACCTTGCTCTGGCCTGCACACAGTGCCAGTCTTAAGGACAACAGAAACTTACCTGGAACAGAAAGCAAATCATAGCAGCAAGATGACCATCACCATCATGACCAAACACACTGGGTTTTCCTCTGACCTTCACGTGCATGATACACTCAAATACACACACAATTTGTTGATCATTCATAGGGAGCTGGAACTTGCATTAGCTACTTGTCTCATTGCTGTGATGAAATACCCAGCAAAAAGCAGATTTCAGGTGGGAACTGTTAATTTGGGCCCACAATTCTAGGTTCTAGGGATGCCACCATTACATCATGAGGTAGCTCATTGCATTGCATCTGAAAACAGCAAGCAGCCAGAGATGGATGTTATTGCTCAGCCCCCTTTCTCCTCTGTATTCAGTCCAAGACTTCAGCCCATGGAATGGTCCAGTCTATATCCAAGGTGTTTTTTCCCACTACAGGTAAGCTAACCACAGTGATGCCCAAAGACTAATACAATCTAGATAATCCGTCACAGGTTTGCTGAGGGGCTCCTCTCCTAGAGAATTTTAGGTCCTGTCAAATTCACTATCACTATAAAAATCATCACAGAACCCAGGTGTTCTACATAATTTCATAAATATTGACTTCTTAATATAGATAGGAAATGGAAGAAAAAGAAACATTAAGCTATGAATATAAGATGATGTATCTAGAAATAGCTGTTAGAATTTTCCCCGAAGTCCATACTGACATCCAGAGAACATTCACTTTTTCTTCATCTGAGCCCTTGATACAAAGGACCTAGAGCATTTTGAGGGGAGGACTCCAACTAAACCCTTCAGCTGCTGTGGTAGACCTGTTTTTGGGAGACAGCAGTTGGCTCTTCTGAGGAAGCCCTTTTTGGGAAAGACTGAGCTGAGGCTTGAGCCTAGTCACTCATCTGTAAGGGCCAGTGCCTCTACCAGCTAAGCCATCTCACCATCCCAGCACCTTGCAATGAATGACACAGGTATTTATGTGCACATAGGTGCTTCTCAAGTCTGTCTTGTGTTGGCAGGAAAGCCTCAGAAGCAGGGTGGGGATCTGTGAAGGCTGTGTGTTCAGTTTTTACTCCCAGAGCCAAGAGCTGCTCCTGTGCATGGAAGCCGCTCAGTAGACAGACAGCACAACATGGAACCGAGATGACATTTCATTGCATAAATACATAGTTTTAAGAATCCATCTGTTTCTTCTATGGCTGAGCATTCACAGTCACTTATTCTCAGAATCCCCCAAGTCACAAGGCTCAGGGAGCATAAAAGAAGAGAGGTAGAAAGGATATAAGAGGTGGAGGAAGGGGTGGGGCTATGAAATACTGCCTACTGGGACATGACATGGTTATTACACTATGAACTCATAACAACTGCGGTGACTTATACAGGACCTAGGTAAGATTCCAGCATGGAGTCCCTCATTGGCTAGGTAAAATCAGGAACTCTGACAGCACTTGTTACTAGGCACTGAGGCAGATTCCGCACAATCAGGAACTTGGACAGTGACCAGGAACTCTGACAGTGCCTATTTGCTAGGCCCTCAGGCAGACTCCAGGTTGACTCATAAGGAAGTATGTTATGCGCATGCCTTGGCAATTGGTTTGAGCCAATTTCCTCAACCCTATGGGCCTATCCTACTACAGTGGGTCCACACCCATGCACATGTAAGGGTCACTAACTAGACTCAGTGTATTATTAAAAACAAATTTAAAAGGGATATGAACTTAGGAGGGAGATAGTTTGGAGGGGTCCATGGGGAAGTTAGAGGTGGGTAATGGATATGATCAAGATACATTGTATACATGTATGGAGTTTTTAAAGAATAAATAAAAAGCATAAATTTGAAATACCATTTGTCAATTTATGAGTGTTTGTGTTCTTATTACTTTTTGGCTATTATGAATAATCCTCTGAACATTTGTGTTTAAGGTAATATGGCTGTTTTCTGGTGGAGCTGTTGGATCTTGTAATGACCACTGAACTTTTTGAAGAGCCTACAGGTTGTTTTCAAGTGTTTTCCCACTTCAATATTCCTTCCAGCAGAACATAAGGACCCAAATTTCTCTGAACCTGTACCAATACTTGTCCATCCTTTTTACTTTAGACATCCTAGGGAGCGGCTTGTACTGCTCAGTGTGGATTTGATTTGCATTTCTGTGACATCAACACATGTGATTTGAATGAGGTGTCTCCCATTGTTGCAGGAATTTAATACTTGGTTCCCAGTTGATGGCACTGTTTGGGAGGCTTAGGAGGTATGGCCTTATTGGAGAAAGTGGGCTTTGAGAGTCTCTTTTGAGTTGGCTATCTCTGCTTCCTGCTTGAGGTTTGAGATGTGAGTTCTTAGCTGTCTGCTGTTTTCCTTGCTGTGATGGACTCTCACCCCTCTGGAACCATAAGCCCAAATAAACTCTTCCTTCTAATTTTTTTTTTTTTTTGAGACAGGGTTTCTCTGTGTAGCTTTGCACCTTTCCTGGAACTCACTTTGGAGACCAGGATGCCCTCGAACTCACAGAGATCCACCTGCCTCTGCCTCCCAAGTGCTGGGATTAAAGGCATGTGCCACCACCGCCTGGCAAAACTCTTCCTTCTAGAAGTTACCTTCTTCATGGTGTTTATCACAGCAACAGAAAAGGAACCAACACAATGGATGGATGTCTTTTCATGTGATCATTCACTATTGGCATATATTTTTCCTGTCAGAAACATCTATGGAA